TTAAATGTGATGATGGGATTTTTTTTGTATTTCAATCAGAAGTGAGTTTTCTGTATTTTTATTAGATATAAGGATGATTTAGTTTACTGGGAATAGAGAAGTAGAATCTGAAGCTGAATCGCATTGGGATGGAGGCCAGTTATGGGCAGTGGACTTGAGCTTTGACAGAAAAGATATGCAATAGTTCTGAAGAATACGACTTTGCACGCCAAATAAGGTATTAACTGCAAACTGTGGCATCTGGTTGGATGGAAGGACTAAGTCTACTGACCAGAATCCTTTAAAAACCAAAGCAGAAAGCAAAAAGAGGAACAAGAGTTCTCCTTCACAGTTGCAGCCAGAGGCTCTGCCGAACTGATGGTCTGACTTCTAGAAGATGTCAACGTGGGATGATGGAACTGTGTAAATGCTTCACAGTTCAGCAAGAAAAACTCTGAATTTATGGCTAAAAGATGATTTATGAAGAAATGAAGAATTTCAACAGAATGCCACAATCCACCCCACCTCAAGCCGGCTGAGAACAGGATTCAGTGAAAATACTTTTGACTTTTATTCAGATCAAGAGTTTAGCTCAACCATAATTTTAATCAGTATAATCATTTTAGAGTGATGTTTAGAGATAGCAGTTGTTGATTTATTTATGTTGTAAGCCAAGCAAGACAATTATTGATGATTTTAAGGTTTATATCTTATTGCTTGCTGCTTTGTTGTAGTTCTTTTAAGCTTCTATATAAAATTCCTGAAAAGGTTTAATACTCTGTTTTTATTGAGACACATTTTGAAGTTATTAATTTTTATGATTTTAGTTGGCTTACACTTTTAGGTGGTAATGTTCAAGGCTGTTTAAGACTATAATATAAATAGTTTAAATGCAGCTACTGAAAAGGGAATCAGTGATTATTGAAATTGTCTGAAAATGGTCAATATTTCAATGTTAGTCATTTAAAAAAAAATCTAAATAGTCAATTGTTTACTCACTATATTACACATATTATAATTCAAATTCCCTATGTTAGAATACAACTTGATAATGAGTTTAATCATATTGTTCAACAATCAACAGTGCTAATAGTATGCCAAACTTCCCAACAGTGTCTCAGAGAGTTAAGACAGGCAGTAGCTGCCTGACTGCGGAAACCTAACGGTGACAACACAAACAGTACTTTTCTGATTGGGCTTGTTGCTCGGGTGAATTCCATACAAACCGGCTGGCTGTTGAGAGGGGAGGTGATATTTAGAAAGTTATATCAGAAAATATTTTATATAAAATATCCAGCTGTTTACTTATTATATAATATACACTATCCTTTAAATTTCCTATCCTTAATAACATCTTAGGTCAACTAAATACTGTGCAAAACAAATATGGTCTTAAGTGTCCAGTGACACAGCTTTCATTGATTATTTCAGACTAAATTTAACACTTCCTCAAAGAGCCAGAGTGTACTGGTTTATGTGTCTTGTCAAGATTTGTACAGCACTTAGATCAGCTCTAGCTGTTTTATAATTTGATTTGAAAATTCTGAATATTGTGAGGTTGGATTTCAAACTAGTGCCACATCTTGTCTCTTTTTCACTTAATTTGTCAGACAGTGTATAAAATCTATGGACTGGCGACCTGTCCATGGTGTACCCTGCCTCTCACCTGCAGCTGGCTGGGATTAGCTCCAGCCCTCCGTGACCCCATTTGGGACTAAGCGGTATAGAAAATGGATGGATGGATAGATGTATAAAATCTTAGCAAATGCACATTTAAAATAAGCAACATGTATGCTCTATTAAATGTGGACCAGAGAACAGTGATTTCCAAAGGTATGCCTGTTTGCAGCAAAGCACATTAAAACCTAAAACAACAAGGGCATATAAGTGGTTCTGTGTTGTAATCCAAACATGATGGCCTATCCTATAGAGGGGCCCTGTCTCACATGTAATTTCAATAGGGGAACACATACATACATTTTTGCCTCTTCATGGTTAGTCCTGCCCTGATGACATGTTTCAGGAAATAATTTAAACTGTTAAGATATGGTGTATAAACATGTAGATAGAGTAGCCTTCTAATTGTTGTTTGTCAACGTGGCAGCCCTGTGATAGACTGGGGACCTGTCCAGGGTGGACCCCGCCTCTCAAGCCTGTCCCAAGTCCCAAGCCTGTTTCACCCATCAGCAAAGCTGTGTGTGGTCAAAGGTGTGTTATGCTGCACCTATAACCACAATCAATGAAGCAGGGCGAGCAGAAACAAGATTTTCAGGAGGTGAAGCTGTACTGCACAAAAGGGCATTAATATAAGTGCTCTATCAAGATGATGACATGTTAAGACAAACACTCTAAACCAAAACTGTCAACCATCATAACCACAACCACCAGTTCCACAGTTTTTACTCTGCAGGCTTTATGTTCTTCAACACATTCAAGTTGAAATAAAATGATGCCTACTACACTAAGGTGCTGAATGCTATGTGGGACATTGGCCTATAAAGGGGTTCAAAAGCAACCTGACAGAAACACATGAAGTCAAACAATTTCAAAATATTTATTATTTAGTGAAACGTCCATAGATCACAGTGCAGACACTTTGTATCTCTGTTTATGAGCTCTTCCTTTTGTTCTCCACACTTTCCTCTTTCCATCATTTTGACAGAGGTTGATTTTTATCGAGTGCATAGGTTTTAGCAACTGCAACCTGCCCTTTGTGTTTTTGAGGCTGACCCAGGGCATGCATTTTGTGGTGAAGTCTAGATTGTGGTCATGAAGTCTTCTGTTGATCATTGACAAGGAATCGTATCCTGAGGAGCTTCATTTTTTGTCACCATACAAATGATTTTCCTGTCATTGACAAGACTTCTACTATGCAAGTTGGCATTTTCTGGTTTTCTTGTGCATACTTGTCATGTTTTATAACTTTTCTTAAGGACCAAAATGCAAAACTACAAGCAAGGTGATGTTTATGTTGTGATGACACAACAGGAGAACAACATCACTGGGGCAAATATAATGGTGGACAGGTAAGTAGCTTTAACAGGGCAGATGAAAACGGCAGAAACAGATAAGTAAATGGAGCACAGGTGAGATGTTACAGATACAAAGAAGTACAGGGGTTTTTTTATACAAAATGGCAGATTCAGTTAAGCAACACAAACAGGTCAACAGTCTTTTCTAAGAGAGGAACAACAGGGATTCAGGTAAATACTGTATTTTCGAGAGGGACTGGATAGTAGTCATGCAGTGGATACAGGTGAGTATAAATTTAAAAAAAGCCTACAGGTCCATAGTATGTAGATAAGTACAAACAGGGCAATGCAGGGAAGTAAGCTTAGCCATCGTCAGGGGACAAAAGCAAACAGTTCAGGTGAGGGGCAGGTGACTGAACAAATCCTGGGAAAAGCAAATGTCCACTCACAGGTGAATCCAACAGTTCAAACAGGGGCAGGCAAGATTGGATAAAAATGGGTGAAATAGCTCAAAAACAGAACAAGAATACAGTGATGAATGCTGGAGAGTCATTACAGATACTGAGAATGAATGTTGGCTGTCTTAACTACTGACTGCATGGGTGATTGCACAGGTAGGAAGCAAACTGAGTGTGGACAGACTGGCACAAAGCAGGTACTAGGAGCAGGAAAAGAGAACAAACAACTAAAGTTCGAATGTCAAACAGGATGGAAACAGGATCCGGTCTGGGACTGTACGTTCTTCTTTAAAATGTACCCAACTGTTGATTTTGGCTAACTACTTTTGCCATCGCCCTGATAGGTTTTTGTCTTTTTGGGCCTCATGTTCTTCTTGAAGCACAATGCAAGTTTCACCAGCACTGTAATTAATGACCAAAGTGCAGAAACAGTTTGATCTCTGTAATAGGCATCTGAAAAAGCACCTTCCATTCCGTCAGACAGCTTCATCCCCAGCATTCAGTTTCATGAATTACCTTCTGGCTGTCTTTTTAGATAGCCAGAGCCTACAGATATAAACACACTTTAACCTTTACTATTATTATGATAAATTCAGAGAGGAAAAGGTGATCGAAATATTAACGGGTTACACAAACTCTGCTTTAAAACCATTTTTTGACTTGTGAACATGGATATAGAGTTTAGTCTGATGCTTTTCTCTGTCTGATGTCTTGTTTGTTGGTGTTTTTTGTTGCTTAACACTGCCCTTTTAGATCAACACAGTTACTAAAGTTCAAAGTTCACTTGCATGGTCACCTCTGACAATCTAAATGGCAACTCTCAACAACTCTAACCCTCATGCATAAACTGATGAAACAGTACAGTAGCTAGGTGTCCAATTACTTGTGAACCTTTTCAATTAGTCAAAGCTGAGACTTAACACTGAAATGCAGCATCAGTTCTTTGATTTCCATTTCAATGTGTTGAAGAACAGAGCCTGAAGAAACAAATGTAACTGACCACATACTTAAAGTCTGAACTATATGTAAAAAGATTAATATAAATCCATCCAAAAGATGTTAAGATATTTAAGTCTGAAGCAGTGGACTGCTGATTGACATTGCCATCCCTAGAGCTATGTAGCTAACATGGCTAAAAACTGTGTAGTTACACTATTGAAAGTTCTCAGTTGCACAGTTAAAAAGAACACTAGTAACCAGTGCCAGGAAGTTTTGTGACATCCAATGATCAACATCCTTCAGGCAACTGAACAGTGAATCTGATGTATTTGTCACAGGTTTGTAGTAAATGGGAACTCAATTGCAAGCACCAGGAGAAGGCTCAAGGTAAAGCCAGCAATTTTACTGTACAGCACTGAGTAGTGGTGAGCAGTCTTGTGAAAGGCTTTCTGGACAAAGCACATCAAGATAAGCAGTTACTGAATCTGAGTAACATTGAGCCAAGAAACAGTAGCAAACTAAAATCTCAAAAACACAAAACAGAGAGATTCATAAAACTCCATATAATGCAAAAAAACCTTCTAAGAGAAGCAGGTCCATATGTTACCATATATTACAGAGATAAACTGTTTACATAACACTTCTTACTTACCCAAGTCTGTCTTCTTCCTTCTGCCTCAGGTCAAAATCTCGCTGGACAACTGCCCACACATGCTTGGCCTCCTCATCTGTGAGTGTGGAAAGATCTAACTTTTTGTCCATACTGGTGTCAGGCACAACTGTGAATCTGATGTGTGCCTGGCAGGCGTCCTGGTGCTGGGCTGCAGGGGAGTAATAAAAATAAGAAGCAGAATTAAAACTACAGTGGTTAGAAAAGTGAGGGTAACATGTAGAGGACTTTACATTGGTACTAATATTTACAATGAACTGCAGCGAAAACACTACTACTTGTATAAACAGATCACACTGGACTAATAACACAACATGACATGGCGTTATTCAGCTGCCAGGGATAGTTATATAAACATCAAAGATTTTTATTGTCAATTCACTATATGTGCAGGACATGCAGAAAATCAAAATACCATTTCTATTTCACCTAGTATTGAATGCCATACTACTGAGGAAACTAAAATAGAATAAAAGTAGAATAAAAATTGACTAAAAAGAACAAGAAAACTAAGTCAAAGTGATTAGGATAAAGCTAAACGGTACAACCTAATAGGCTATGACTCAAACCATGTACAATCAGTGATAGTAGTGCAAATAATAACAAGAAGATTGTCAGATGGTTGTGAGATTGAGGTGCACATGGACAGTAGTGCAAATAACCAATACCAGCAGATATGACCGTAAAAACAGTCAGCAGCAGGTTTACATATAATATAACAAAAAGGGGGAATGTATTGAGTTTGTGCAAACAGCAGAGGTAGTCTTTTTATATCTTTTTATGTTCTGTGGGTTACGGTCCAGGGGCAGAGGGGAGGAGGTAATGGATAGTGTTCAGCATCCTCACAGCCTGGTAGATGAAGCTATTTGTAAGTCTGGTGGAGTGGGCCTGAAGACTCTCATACCTTCTCTGGCTCTGCGGGTGAGGTGGGCGTTAAAAATGTCCATGAGGGAAGACAGAGGGGTGCCAATGATCTTTCTGGCTGTTTTCACTATGCGTTGCAGAGTCCTTCTGCAGGAGGCAGTACAGGCTTCGTACCACACAGTGATGCAGCCAGTGATGACGCTCTCAATGGTGCCCCGGTAGAAGGAGCACATGATGGGAAGTGGGGCACTGGCTATTGTGTTTACAGTTCAAATTCATGTGCCATTAGAAAGGTTAAAAATAAAATCCTTGTGAAAATTTTACATGTGAATGTCCCTGCTAGAATTAATTAGATTCACAGTTGTAATGTCTCACTGACCTTTGCATTCCACATACAGTAACAGTAGTACTGTTACCCAACACATAATCCTAAGTTCACAGTCAGAAATGACTTCATTTATGTTCACTGCCCATTCTTTTAATTTTGTTACAAAAATAACAAAAACACAATTTATCTTAAAATTTATTATACTAATGTCCATTGAAAATAATCACTTCCTACACTGAGGGACAAAACACAAACTCTGGAAAGACCCCTTTTTTAGGAGTGGTATAAAGGGTTGCACGTTTTTGCCTTTTTATTAAATATTTGAAAACATGGCCAATGCTGTCACTTCTTGGTGGGGACGGTGTAAGAATACGGTGTACCTTTTACTGCTACTGTATAGACAAACTTGTATTTGAGATTCATTCTTAAGCTGTCAGTTATAAACCAAATATGACTAAGAGGTTCCTGCTGTTTTCTACAAACAAATCAGAGCAGAATAATTGTATTGATCAAGGCTCAGTGACTTGATTATTAGGTGCTTTCAACTGCTCTGCCACATGAATCTGTCCTGTGATCTGAGAAAGTCTGGCACAGGTCAACCATCACATTCCTGAGGGATTTTTATCAAGTCCAAATATTTCACATGGTCTAGGTTCTTAATGCATTGGTTTCAGAGGATGAGGTAACTCATGTACTCACTCAAGCTGACAGTGATACACACACACACACACACACACACACACACACACACACACACACACAAGCAATACCACTGAACTGCACTAAACACTCACAAAATTAGGAATGAGTAAAGGAATGCTGCTCAGGAGCATCACATAATTGCCTAGTTTTCTACCGACTATGCCAAAAGTCCAGTGACGGGGTATCTGATTTCTGCTGGTGAATGGTAAAAGTAAGCACATGAGTTTGACAGAAAATCAAGTTACATCTAAATAGTAGACTTTGAGGCAAACATTGTAGTGATCCAGCTATACAAAATATTATTTACATCTTTCTGACAGTTAAATTCTTACACATGAATAGCCAAGCACTATACAAAGGCTCTATTTGCTTAGCAGGTGTGAGCATCTTATTATCTAATTCAGTTGTATTAAGGGAACATTTTGAAAACAAGCACTTTAAACTTCTATTAAAATATTCCTTACAGAACTCTAGAGTTTTTTCCACAGCCAGTCCTAACTGTATAGCATATCTGTAAAGGAATTTCTGCAATAAATTCTAAAGTAATACATAGAATACAACAGGTGCACGTTCAAGGGACTCTTAGTATTTACAAAGGGAGGGTTTTACTCAGTAACAAGTGGAGTGGCATACACCTGGAATAGTTTCACAAGTGAAAGATCAATAGATAAAGCATATATATTTTTCAGTGACTCCAGTTCAAACCAATTGACATGCTCTTATGTGGAGTTTTCAAAGTACCAGACTTAGCTATACCTTTCAGTAGATTTATAAAAGTTAATAAAAGCTATTCTACTATTTCAAGCTACTTCAAAAACTATTAAATACAAGGATTATGTCTCTAATAACAAGTTGAAACACCCTGAGGCATGAGTTTGGATCGCTGACATGAACAAAATCAGTCACCCAATGAGAATTGAAGTCACAAATTCCAAAAAACAAGCAACAACAAGAGTAATTGAACATCAGTTCTTTTGTGATTCTAACACATGCAGACACAAACTTTTTCATTTTTTATCATCGTCAGGACATCTGTTATGGAAATGTGGCTTACCTTAGTGTTGACCGAGTAGCGTTCAAGCAGTATTTCCTCTGAAGGGAGACCAGTCTGTCTACAGGGCTAACTAAGTTTCAGACAGCAGTGCTAATCACATGACTAGTTAAACAGGAGGAAGAAAGGCAGGGAGACAAGCCTCCTCTCCACCTTCCTTGACTTTTTCTTCAAAGGGTCACATTGTGTGCTTGGCCCCCTTTGGCCTCCTTCACAGCAGTATTAAATAGATTAAGACTGCTATTAGTTTGCATTTATGTTGGGAAAACACCTGATTAATGGTAAGTCAGTTGGTTTGAAGGCACTTATTTTTGGCATTTTAATGCTTAGACAATATTCCAATAAGTGTGCAGTAATTAAGAGATAACTCTATGTAGAGGCCAGTTGGGCTTATGTTCCTGGTCGCATGTCATGGATCCTATATTAGAGGAGAGAGTGGTGATGATGCCATGTTGGTTTAAATGATACTTACATATAAGTATAGCCTAGCTGTGCACCTATTTGCACAGTGGGTGGGTCAACCCTCTTTGAGCAGAGAAGTCTCAGCTGTCATTGAAGAGGCTAAACATTTACACTGCAACTTGGAAGATAAGTTGCAACACTTTTTATGTGTTGATATCAGTTACTGTAAGTGATGTGAAAGTTGGGTTGGAAGAAGTCAGGGTGGCCATCACACAGCAGACTCCCAATCAGTGGTGACAGAAATGTATACTCAGAAAATGATTAGGGCAAATCTGAAATTTTCAAAATGAATACTAAAACAGCTGAATTGAAAATACTTTTCTTTGTTAATGATTTATGTCATTCTTCTCTCATAAAAAGGATTTTTTTCATTTTTTTCCCCACTAGTTAATGTTTTCCAAGAGGCAATCCAGACTTCTTGTTTGTTCTACCACCAGGACAAGGCATCTTTCTGTGCAGTAAATAAAAATGAACAGTCTCTGGAAGAGGTTAGTCACACTTTACATTTTTGTAAGTTTAAAGTGCTGGTGGCTGCTCATTTGGTATACTTGGGTACCTCTGGTTTAGCTTGGCACCCCTCATAACTCCAGCTAGACTAATTATTTCAGAAGTATAAACGCCAATAGCCTCCTCCTAAAAACCAGAGGATAGTTTGTGAACTCGCACAACTCCTGCTGCTGATGTTGTGTTGAAATCCATTTCCCCAATGAGATGTGTGTTTGCCCTAACCTGAATCCTAACATTATCATAACTGCAACCACTGAGGGGGGCACTACATGAAACCCAGTTTTGAACAGGGGAACACATCTCAACGGGGGAACAATTCCAGCAGGTAGTGTAGCACTGACAGCAAAGTTATGGATCATTTCGCCAACCCACATCACATGACATGTGGCATACATACTGGCCTCAAGCAGTCAAAACAAACAGGTACAGTGCTCTGGGGGAATCCAGCATTTATGAGCCCCGGGGGGCTTCACTGGCCAGCTGCTTGTAGCTTAGACCTGGTCAGGTAGAACAGTGAGTCCCTGTACAGGAACATTCCTGAACATGCAGTAACCTCAGGCCCTGTATTTTTCTTCACATCCTATGGTCGCAGTGCAGCAGGAGGGAAAATATATCCACAAAACCGGGTGCAGTCCAAAAGTTCCACTTTTACAGTGGCATCAGTGAATGTCAGGCAAGCTCGGACGAACATGCAACGGCCTGGAGATTATGACCATGCAATGAAATCCTTAAACTATCACACAACACAACACTTTGTTTTGTTAGGAAAAAAGTCTCATGAGTGAGAGTTTGCGAGACTTGTATAAACCAAGCTGCTTCTACATAGAAATACTAGAACATATGTTCACCTCATTTTTTGAGCTTTAAGTCACATCTAAGATGATAATTCACATTGTAGATAAGTCAGAAAACAAGGAAAAGCATGCCATGGGCTCTTTAAGTACAGTATATTCTAGTGGATAAACATTAGGACACAGTGAAGAGTGAGCTAGACAGGTAGGATCCTGCTATCTGAAATAATATTTGGCATTAAAAAAATAAAAACTTTCATTTAACTGTTTGCTCAGCTTAGGCAAATGTTTGCTGTATAGTGTAACAGTTCAGATAAATACTGAACTCAAGAGGCACCATGTACACAGCTCACCTTTATTCAGGCTGGAGCTCAAAACTGGCAGAATCTGCTCTGCTGTTTCTTTAGTACAAGGCAGCTTTGGTAATGGTTTCAAGTGGTATAAAGTGGTCAGCAACTGTATGGATCAATTCAACTTTATTTATATAGCACCTTTCATTCAGGTTTGTGCAATACAAAGTGCTTTATAGATAAAAAGACAATGAGGCAGAAAAAGGCAATACTATTGAATAAAAATGAATGAAAACTAGGTCAAATAAATGGACAGCGCAGCGGTACAGTGGTTAGCACTGTGGCCTCAAGAGGTTCCGGGTTCCATCTTGTTCTCCCTTGTATGATTTGCAGGGCCCTACACAACTTGCACAGTGAGGGTATAGGGCTGTCTACGATGGGTGTGGCCCCCATGATATTTGTGGTGCAAGAATGTGGTGCCCACGACCGTTTGTTTTGTTCATAGTACCCCCCTCCTTTGGGATTTTATTATTTTTGGTTATTTGTTCTAAAACTTACCTGCTGGTGATTTAGACTCGGGGTGATATTTATTTTGTCCAATAGAGGGCAGCAGCAGCCTATATTGAAGACACTATCGGCACTCCAAAAACCGGAAGTAGGTCCGATGCGAGAGTGAGGCCAGTAAATGGTGCATTGTTAAGCGGCTGTGTTGTTTTATATGTGTTGCAGATCAGACAATAAAAGAAGAATAAAACAAGTGACTAAAGGGCTCCATCAATTCCGTGTGAAGAGTGTAAGATAAACATTTCGGGCAATAGAACTTAGAGAGAAGCTGCTTTGGAAAGCTGGTGACGAGAATGAAGGGGAACAGTTCAGCCCAGACTTAATCCAACGCAAATTCCTACGATCAGTGGAGACTGGGTTACACAGTGATGCAGTGAAGTTCCAGTTAAAACCATACCTCAGTAACCCCAGAGTAACAGATGAAGTCCTTATCGAAAGGATAAATGAGGCTGCGAGTCTGGAGTCAGAACGACAAAGTAAGCTGAGAAGAAACATGACAATTAAACCACCCAGAGTAAGTGAGATACACACGGAGCTGCAAGTCAACAGGGGTCAGCCACCCAAAAACAATGAAGCAGACACACATGATGAAACACCAACTAAAGAGTGTGTGACAGTGCCTCCCAAGCAAAAACAGGAGCAGAGTAAGGGGCCCGACCCAGAGACTGCTAAGCTCATTGAGGGTCTCAAGGCTGATGTCCTCGAAGTAAAAAATATGTTCAAGGAGACTCTAGAGGCAACAAAGTGGAAACCCAGCACAAGCACCCGTCTTCCCCTACTACCAGAGGGACTAAGGGATGCCAAGCATGTAGAGAGTCTCAAGTCGGTGATACATGTCGGCATTGTTATCGCTGTGGACAGGAAGGCCACCTGTCCTGACGATGCAGACAAACCGCACGCATGCAGGGAAACGGGAGGGGGCTGCTGAGCTGAGACCCGCAGTAGCCCACACAAGTTCGATTTCTGGGGCGCATGGCAACAGGAGAGGGATATACTATGGATCCAGCTGAAATTGCTCCTGTTCAGGCACTCAAAGACAAACCACCATCTACAGTAGGGGAGTGGAGCAAAATCCTGGGGTTCATCTCCTACTACAGGGCCTACATCCCAGATTTCTCCAAAATTGCCAGACCATTGTACCAGCTGTTGACCCTGCATCCACAACCAACGCCAGCTTCTAAAGGAAAGAGGGTGAGTTCAAAACACAGAGGTAGACCATCACAAAACACACCTATCATTTGGACCGAGAACCACCAAGATGCTTTGCACATACTAATCGACTGTTTAACAGAGCCACCTATTTTAGGTTACCCTGACTTCACAGAGCCATTCATACTACACTGTGATGCCTCACAAGATGGCCTTGGAGCTGTATTATATCAGAGACAAGTAGGGAAGATGAGGGTGGTTGCATATAGCTCCCGGACATTAACATCCCCTGACAAAAATTATCACATGCATTCTGGCAAGCTGGAGTTTCTGGCATTAAAGTGGTCAATATGTGAACGCTTCTGGGACTATCTCTATTATGCCCCACATTTTGTTGTTTATACAGACAACAACCCCCTCACATATGTCCTCACCACGGCAAAATTGAATGCAACAGGCCATAGGTGGGTGGGGGAATTGGCTGATTTCAACTTCACCATCAGGTATAGGCCGGGCAAGAAGAATGCAGATGCTGACGGCCTGTCCAGGCTCCCACTAGACATACAAAAGTATATGGCCCAATGCACAGCAGAAGTAGAGCAAGGGGTAATCAGGGCTGCTGTAGAAGCCATAATACTGCAAGAGAAATGTGCCCAACATGAGACCACTGTAATCAGCCAGAGCGCCATCACATTAGTACAAGACACTCCACCCCTGTCCACTGGAAAGTGTTTCTCACAGGAAGAACTCAGGTCAAGTCAGGAACGGGATGCTGTGATAGGACGGGTATTGCAGCACAAATTAAAAGACCACTTGCCAAAAGGTCATGCCCTGAGAACAGAACCAACGGATGTGAGAATACTACTGAGACAATGGAACAGACTTCACTTACAGGACGGCGTCCTCTACAGGAGAGCCAATGGAAGGGATCAGCTCCTCCTTCCCAAGGAACACCACAACACGGTATTTCAAGAACTGCACAAAGAGATGGGACATCTGGGAGCGGAAAGAACCCTGGGACTAATCAGGGACAGGTTCTACTGGCCCCGGATGCAGAGTGATGTGGAGCACTTTGTCATGCATGTCTGTGAGTGCATAAAAAAGAAACGGCCAAATAAGACAACAAGAGCCCCACTGATTCCCATCACCACTACTTACCCATTCGAACTGGTGTCTATAGACTTTTTACATCTGGAGGCCTGCAAGCATGGATTTGAATATATTCTAGTGGTAATGGACCACTTCACACGCTTTGCACAAGCCTATGCAACAACAAAAAAGTCGGC